AATACAGGAGTATGGTAATTTGCTTGGCGACAAAAGGTTTTATAGTCAAGCAAACTCGAACGAGCAAATTAGCGGGTTCGAGCTACCTCAGACGAAGCCAAACAACAGGCATCGTCTGAGGGAAGAAGTGGACGGGGTACCTCGAGGGACCTTAAATACATTGAGTCCTTACTGGATGCAATGCCCTCGCAGCGGCCCCAAAGACGCGACCGCGGGGCCGCCGGTTGGGCCCTGGCACCACACCGATAGCAGAATGCAAGGGTAGCTCCAGCAAGGCTGATATGATGCCCCCGAGCGCTACTGGGCCCTACAGGGCCATGAGCGGGAAGGGGGACATCAGGAAGGACGGCCTCTTTCGCGGTCCAGGAGTCGTCGCGCCGCGGACCTCCAGAGGTCCTTGGCCTCTTGGCGGGCGGAGGCCCACCATGGCCAGCGGAGGCAGGAGGCACTCCACCGTCGGCAGCGCCAGGGGCCGAGAGCCTGGGGCCCTTCGGGCCAGGTCCCCCACGGGACCCGTCCTCCGAGAAGTCCCCCTTCCGAGCGGGGGCGGGGGTAGGGGTAGGGTTCGCATGTGGCCCCCTAGGGGGGGGGGGGGGAAGGTGGGGGCACGGGCTCCTCGGAACCCCGAGAACCTGCGGCCTCGGCCAGCCTGCGCGCCTCCACCGGGTCCGAATCCCACTGCTCCTCCTCCGTCCTCAGCCTCGCCCGCCCCACCGCCAGGGGTCGCTCGAGGCCCTCGGTCGCCAAGGTCGGCGGCACCGCTGGCTCCCCTGGGGCCTCACGAGCCCCAGAGGAAGCATCGGCCTCGGCGGGGCCCTCGACGACCCCACGCGGCTCCCCAGACATCCCCGAGCCCGGGGAGGCCAGCAAACCAGTGGAGGTCTCAGGCGAAACACCCTCCAGGCCGCCCAGAGGGCCGCCGCCTCGGCGACGCGACACACGGCCCACCTCAGTCTACGAGCTCCTACGGCGGGGACCGCGTAAGCAGCTCATCTATCACAGGACCATTTCTGGCGCGCGCCTCGGCTGCCGCGCACCGCCAGGAGCTCCCCCGTCAGCCGCCGCGGCGCCGTCGCCTCCGCGATGTCCATCGCGCTGCTCGCGCCAGCGGCGGCGCAGCGAGGCGGCTCGGCGCCGCGGCACCGCCACGCGGTCAGGAGGAACCTGTCCTTGCCAGGCCATGCGGGAGGCGTTCCCGATCCACGTGGCCACCTGCCTGACCCGATGCAGTGCGTCACTGTGCCGTTGCACCGTGGACCTGGGAAGGTCATGGGTGCGCCTCCCGCGCTTCGCCGCCTGGTCCGCCAGGTCGTTGCAGCGGCGCTCCCACGTGTCCTCCCTGGAGTGGCCTTTCACGTACAGAACGCGCACTGGCGCCTCCACATCCCCATCCAAGGAGACTCCGCCGTGCTCATCCAGGAAGTGGAAGATGCGGCACCAGAGGTCGACGTTCTCCCTCCTAGGGCACAAGCACCGCCGCCTCTCACGCTGGAGGCCCTCCCAGAATGGCGTGTCGTCGGTGTATAAATGTGCAGAGGCGCGAGGCCCACCGCCAGCACCTGTAGCACCGCGTGCAGTTCGGCCCTGCCAGATGTCTGGCGAGGTTCTCGCAGCGGTCCGAAGGCAGCTCCAC